ATAAATTTCTCTCTCTCTATGCATAAACTTTACTGGTTTGGCTTCTCTAGAGAACTCAATCTAACACAGCTCCCAAGAAGTGAGGATGGCAGGACTGCATCTCTCATACTTTGGTCACACTATCAGGAGGGACCAGTCCCTGGAGAAAGACATCATGCTTGACAGAGGGTCAGCAAAACAGAGAAAGACCCTCAATGAGATGGACTGACAGAGAGGTTGCAACAATGGTCTCAAATATAGCAACCCAGATTGTCAGGATGTCCCAGGATCAGCCAGTGTTCTGTTCCATTGTATGCAGGGTCACTATGAGTTGGAACCAACTTTCCAGCACCTAGCAACAACACATGTACTTTCACTCCTCTACAGAACCCAAACTAAGACACTAAATGAAATCAGTCACAAAAGGACAAATATTGGACAATACCACTTCCGTGAACTACCCAGAATAGGCAAATACATAGACTACGTGTTATTAGTGGCTACCAGGGACTATGAGGGGGGAAGAATGGGAGTTACAGCTTAAGGGGTGCAAATGCTGTTTGGGACAATAAAAAGTTTTGGAAACAGACAGTGGTGATGGTTACATCCATGGTAAACCTAATTAATGTCATTGAATTACATACTTAAGATTAGTTAAAATAGCAAACTTTTTATTTAATTCTTACCATAAAAATTTGTTTTAAATTCCCCAAGAGCTTCTAGTATCAGTATCTAGTATTAGATCTATTTTCAGAAAATCAAGGCCTACAGAACATTTACTGAACATTTACTTTTTCTGACAAGAGGTGTGTAGGCTACTATTTGAGGTCCAGCTTTTGCTGTAAGAATGAAGTCATATATGCTTTGGCAATCAGACAAGGAAGCAGGAGTGGCATGACAGCCCATGCTGGCAAAGGGGTGGTTGGAACAAAGGTGTCCCTTGGTTCTTTCTGATTTCCAATGCTGGCTCCCTAGTCTGCTTGGGTTCTGCAAGTCCCTAATGGCCTTCCAATAAGTTCTCTTTTGCTCAGAGTTGGTTTCTATTGCTTGAATGGGGCATTAGAAAAAAAATGTATTTAGCATGGTAAGGTTATTAACATGCTGTTCCGTGACAGGAAAAATAAGATACTACAATATCTCATACAGAGCTTGATCATATCTTTGTAAGGAAAAAAAATGGGACTATATACGATTAGAAATTCCAAAAAGATACTGAAGATTATGGTACAGCGGCTTACAAGTTGTGTTTTCTTTCTTGTTTCTAGGTATGTCATCTAATTTTTCAGTAATGCACTTATACATTGCTTAAATTTTTAAAAACCTCATAAATTATTAGGCCCAATTACAAATGATAAAAATTAAAATTTCCACCAAAAGAATCAGTGACATAATAGATAATCCAACTAACTAGTTTTACACCATTCAGCCTCTCAGTGAGGTACGTACATATCTCTGTCAACAGTCTTATAAAGGAAACTTAACCATCTTGAATAAATTCCAATGAGTAAACACATTCTTTGCTGACTACAAAGCAAGAGGTTATAGAGTTCATGAGCAGTGCTCAGTTCGACTAAAGTCACAAAAACAGAACTGAAGGGTAGGAAATTTTAAAACAAAGCACAAGCAATTTCATAATCACATTCTACTTTTAAAAATGGAATTCACTTTACAGGAAACTAAAGAGCTATGACAACTAAGCACAATACCTGATCCACTACTGACAGTAAAAATGCTATAAATGACATTACTGAGTTAAGCAACAAAACTGGAATAAGATCAGTAGCTTAGATAAAAAAAGTCCTACGAATATTCAATGTACTTAATATAACACGCCGTTGAAACGTAAGAGATGATCCTTATTCTTAGGAAACGCTCTGGTGCATCCAAGTGGACATAACTTACTCTCAAATAGCTCGAGGGAAAATTACACACACACAGCAAGCACAGACAAGAGTGAACACAAAGGATGGGAAATGTTCACAACTGGGAAGCTGAGATAACATGTGGTCCCTATATTCTTGTTCTTAGAACTTTTCTAAGTTTACATGAGTATTCACAGGGAGCCCTGGTAGCAGGGTGGTTAAAACACTCGGCTGCCAACCAAAAGGTCAGCAGTTCAAACCCAGCAGCCACTCCGTGAGAGAAAGATGTTGCTTTTTTTTTTTTTTTTTTTCCTTTTTCTTTTAAATAAAATTAAAGTTACTCAGTCTGCTTTGATGAGAGTTAATCAATTGGGTCTGGGTTCTAAATTCCATGTTCCTGGAATACCTCTCTAATTCTTTCCACTAAAGACTCCTACCCATTCTTTAAAAAAAAAAAAAAATATCCCAGCTTCAATGCCATCTCCTCTGCAAAGGCTACGTGAGGCTCCCTGGTAGAAGGGACCTTTCTGCTCATTTCACTGTTCCCGTCTGAGTTCCCGGCTGCAGTCTCTAATGGGGGTGAGTATCCTGACTTAATTCTCTACAAATGTTCATTTTAATGATGAGAGCATCAAGACCCAAAGACTCAAGGATCTGCCCATGGTCACATTATTAGCTATTAGCCAGGATTAAAATAAAAGCCTTATTTCACCCTCTAATGATCAAAGAATATTCCCAATCTATTTACTGAAAGATACCACTATCTCTCAGCCTTCTTTTCCTGAGTGTCTACCACATGCAAGGCCCCATTCCAGGCACTTTCTGCGTTACCATCTGACACTGCCAGTCTAAAGAACAAACGTCTGTTTTCTTAGGCACTCCTTTTTATATTCCCTGCAAAAATTACTAACATATTTCTCTATTATTACTGAACTCTGTGTCTACCCAGAATCTACTTGGCAAATACTCCATTCTCAGACTTACCTCCAAACATTTCTCCTGTTCCTTTCTCATGCGTAAAATATAACTTAAGAGGCAGAGGTGCCAGGAACTGTAAAATTTCTCTTATTTCAAGACTGCTTTTGAGGAACAGAGGATACGCAAGAATCTCCATCTCAGCATCTGTCCTCTCCTTACACTTCCAGATGTAGTTGAAGTCACACTCTGCCATTAAAAAATCTTTCTCCTGTGCATGTACAACCAAGCACCTCATGGGATTTGGTTCCTTAGTTTGGAAGGTTAGGGTCATGGTTTCATAGGACATCCAAGTTAACTGGCCGAATGATGTATTTAGTGCTCCTGTTACACCTCCTAGGAGCTCTGGTGGCGCAGTGCCTAAGGCATCTGACTGCTAACCAGAAGGCTGGCGGTTCACAGAAGAACTAGATGGTGCCCGGCTACCACTGTCATCCACTTGGAAGGGGATCTATGTAGAAGACCCTTGATA